AGCAAAAGTATAATTAGTAATTAAAGCATATTAAAACAATTGAAGAATCTGGTTTGCATAGATCCTGACAGGCCATTTATTGAAAGAGTACGTTGTTGCAACAGCAGGTGTCCAACAAGTAGGCACATCCTGTGATAAGATGCATGCACTTTTTATTCCCTATGCCTGAGCGAAAAGACCCTCCTCCATTTCCCCATTGGTTAGGTACTCAGGAGTTTACAACCTATCCGAAGCACCTAAACTGCCCACGTGAATCTCCACTCCTGTTTACATCTCCCATTACCCTTATTTTAAAAGCCCCTTTCCCATATTTATTTATTTCCTTCTATGGCAGTTTTCGGCATTAGCAGTACGTGCTCAGTGAGGTGCTTTCAGATCTTGTGCAACTATTACAAAACCAACTCAGGTCAGTTTGTTAGCTCTCTATTCAGAGACTCACATACACAGGCTTCCTTACATATTACCACATCTTCTGTATTTCTTCTGCTCATTTTAAGCAATCCAGTACCTCTTTACGCTAAGAACCCCCTTGTGCAATTGAGGACCAGTAACTTGATTGTGTCACTATATATGTTTTGCTTAGAAATTCAGGGGCCTGAGAGATCCCCTTTCGCTACTAGTTGCTCATTAGAGTTTATTTTAAAGCATATACGGTCAAATTAGCTTACTTGCAAAAACAACACCTTTATCATTTCTCACACTGGGATGACATGTCTCCCCTTCTTAGCAGTCCCATGATCCCAGGAAAGACCAATTTCATTTAAGAAGTTGCAGAGGTGCTGCGTATGCACCCACATGCACTCTGAAGCACCATTCTACTTTTGAAAGCGAAGTGCTACATAGTCCCAATTTCATATATTTGTAAATATAGTTTACATATATTGGACTTTTTTGTCATTCCTACTAGGGGTTGGCCAGAATCTCCAAGATCATTTGGAAGTGTACATACAGCAAAAGTGCATTCAACCTCTAACACTGTATAAATCACAAAAGCCTCTTCAAATGATCAAAATTGGTCTTGAATGGTTTTGGAAATTTACAGGTATGATTTTAAATTATAGTCTGTTATGTTCTCATTTTGATAAAGTTATAAAATTGGCTTTTAAACTAAAATATTTAGTATGCATTCATCATACTTTTTTCTTGCATATGATTCTTTTTCCAAACTTTCATTCCATGTTAGGAAATCAAGTGTTTTCCAGAATTTCAGACTATATCTGCAAATAGCTTTAGCCCCGTGGATTTTTTAATGCATAGTTCCTAATCTCTTGTAACAAACAGGAAGTTAGCGTTTCTGGAAATTTTTGAGAATTCTAAGATTTGTTGCAGCAACACAAAGATTGTTTAGAGTAGAAGCACGAATAACTATGTTAATGTTGTATAACAAGAATACAGTGAAGTCTGCATTGCAAGAGGGAATGCAAGCAAAAACGTTAAGCAAATAAAAAGTAAAACATTTATGTGGAAATGAATGATTGACTTCATCCCATGCTGCATGTTTGAGTGAATGAATCTTTGTTCTAATAAGGCTACAGAAGGGTTTTGTTGTTTTTTGCTACCATTTACCTATGGAGCAAAGATTGACACTTGGTTTAAATAAGAACAACAAAAGGATAGAAGATTCCAAGTGCTTTATGAAAGATTTTGTCAGAATTTTTAGAATGTTTCAAACAAAAGTCAGAATTTCAGAATTTGTTCAGAATGTTTTCAGACAAAAGTCCTTCCTCAGGCTCTATGAATAAATAGAAGACACACATATGTAGAAATAGAATAAAAATAATTAAAATATTGTTCAAAAACCTTTTGTAGAAAAAAGGTTTTGTAGAAAAAATACAATTGTAAAAAGAAATGACTATTATTCCATACTAATTGTTAATTGTTAGTATAACAATTAGTATAATTCCGTTATGGAATAATTGTTAGTATTAATCCATACTAATTCCCCATGGGCTTGACACCTCTGATTTGAAGCAATGACTTTGTATCATCTTGGGGTAGGACATTGCACAAGAAACTGAAGTGCTTCCTTAACGCAGTCCTGATGATCGATTATGAGTGTGCAGTGGCTGCCCTCTACTCAGATCTGGCCAACATACTCAAATATGTATTTTATTTATTTATTTATTTATTTATTCATTCATTCAATTAATTAATTAATTAATTTGTATGCTGCCCA